TAATATTGCATTAAAATGTAAATCTCCTTGTAAGCATCTACCTCTCCTTTTATCAATTAGACTATTATGGAATCCCCCCCCCCCACTTTACCCACCAGCAAGTTAAAAAGCATTACTGGTCTGTCATGAACAACAGTTAATATACCAGACAAAAACCAAACCAAACCACTGCATTTGTAAAATTATTTGCCTCTCTTCCTCACTGTGTTCCAAGGACTATTCAGATTATAAAACATACTGTCTAAACATGCAGTTGCTCCATGAAAAAGCTACCTCGCAATATCCCTGCCTGATATCTATCCCTGATATCAATATCTATCTTCCATGCTACCCTAGAATCCAAACACTCCTCTATCTTCCATGCTACCCTAGAATCCAAGCCATACTTGAATTCTGCAGCTGCGTCAGAAAGCAGGGAGGGCATTATGGCCAACAGCTTGTTACACACATATTACCTTGGTAATGTACCTCAAGCTTATCACTATGGCAACCCAACAGAATTGCCTCAGCAGCCACTCCAAATCATTTTTACAGACCACATTACAGCTATAATTAACATTTTAAATGTAGCCTGCCCTAGAAATATACTATATGTGCAATTTTTAAAAATTGCATGCTATTCTCTTCCTGCTTAATTGAAGTAATAAAATGAATGCACAGAATATTGGGCAGATCTGTTCAACAATATAATGATCAAAGGACTGAAAGAACCTTTGCAGCTTGTATCTACGTGTAAAGATATGCATATAAGCATCACACTCATACATACACCTGTGTGGGAGCTTATATGCATACCGCACTTCCCTCAAAAACGACTTGAAATCTCCTAGTTCAGCGTCAAGTCTAACGAGAATTTCCAGGAAAAACATTAGACAGCATTACTGCAGTTATAAATTATGCAAAAACTAAGACCATCAGTTCTGAACCACCCTATTCAACACTTTTCTTGTCTGCAAGCTAAGGTGAAGACTTTTTAGTGAGGTTTTTTTTAATGCTACATCCAAATACTTAGCATCAATAAAGCAGTTAATTGCAGTGAAAATCTTATTACAGGTTTTATAGAGTGCAATGGTATCTGAGGGCAGCCCATTAAATATGCTAGTAGTTTCCAGACTCTGTTCCAGAGAATTTTTAAATTCCTTGGAAGCTTCTCAAGGGTTCCTCAATAAGGAAAATCGGTAATGGCAGGCATGCAGCTCGGAAAATTGCTCACCTCTACTCATCTTTCCCTCCAATGTACAAATTTAGGGAAACACTGGCAATTTTCTACAGTTCGTTTTACACAAGAGACATAGTGATTGTTCAGAGGTTAATCTTATCTTAACCATAATAACAGCTGAAGTGAATCTCAGCCTCCCTTCTCATCTATTGTGCCTGTAACAAAACATAACAACTGAACAGGGCCTTGCCATTTTTAAGTCTATGTGAAATCTTCCTGTCCCCTGATCCTGAAACCGACTCACTCCTTCCATTCCAATATTGGAATCACAGGGTCAGGGAGCTTCCATATATGGGTAAAGCACAAATTGCTTGCTCAAGCCTTTTATTTCACACATTATGAAGGCAGTGGAATGTGTATGCTTGAGACTTGCTCCCACTGTTAACTATCTCATTCTCTCAGCAAAAACAACAGCATTCTAGGTCCAAAGTACAATCAAAATTCTATGGCTATGCACCCAATAAGACCATCCCAAATCAGATGAGACCTTAAATATAATTATGTTCTGCTCTTGAAATATGTAATCCCTTAACATTAAACAAGGCAATCAACTTATTTTATTTTGTAAGCCACCTCAGGCAGTTTCCCTAGAGAGGCAGCATAAAAAATTGCTAAATAAATAAAACTAATTTCCATCTTTTTCCAACAATCAATAGTAAGTTGGTTCAAAATGTCTTGATAACATTATATAATTTTGACCACAGTTGTTTCAATAGTGATGCAAGCTGAACTTATATAATTTTAGGCTAAAATAGGCACACAGTTTGACTGTAACACACTGCCTAGAAAATCTAATTAGGATGTGGGAGGACATTCTCCAATCTATCATTTTTGCTCTTTTTTCAACTCTGCAGGTTCCGTGTCTGCTGTTTCTTCCATATCAAAGATGAGCTTATTCTTTAGCATAGTTTTGAAAATATGCCATAATAGCCAAGAGCTTGAAAAAGCAACGTATATTTTGCCACAATCTTGCCATGATAACATAGCCTTAAGAAAAAGTGTTTAAACATTCTTATCAATAAAAATAATAAATTTACCAAGTTTATATGTCTCCTGAAAATAGGAATCTGCTGCCAGTGAAAATTTCCCTTTAGCAAGGAAAGGCATGACCAAAAATATTAGTTTCCCTTATACTCTTCTAGAACAAGCAGATGACACTTCTGGCAAAAACTATGAATCTGTTATATACCTATAAATCTTCTAATTAGAAAGTTCATCAGGAGCAGGGGATGGGTGACTACTGCATAATATCTGTTTCCAAGCCTAATTATACTTACTGCTTTAATTAGACTAGAACATAACTAAAGTAATTCCTGTGAAATATCATACAGATGTATGTTGCTACTCACATTTTCTAGGATGGATCTAAAACTCAGCCATAAATTCACATTATTGAAATATATCATATTTAGACCTATGTTTTTCAATCAAATATTGATTACCCCTTGTGGTGCACCCCCCTCTAAGTTTCCCCTCCCAGACCAGGGATAAGAGGCCCAAATGAAGGTGTCCTCATACGGTGTTGCCAACTCCAGCCCAGGAGACTTAGCAACACTCCATGCACTCATGAGTTCTTTTCTTACAAGACCCAGGATGCACGCCAAATAACCACAACTTTACTTAAGAGAGGAAACAGAAAAGAGATTTATTTTACAAAAGGAACAAATATCAGTACTTTATACAACACAAATACAAAAAACCCACCAAAACCCTAAATAGGCTAACACACTTTCCCCTAAGAGCCAAGTTTTTCCTTCAGGTAAAAATCTTCCACACAGGAATGAAGAAACTTTCAGTCTAGATGGACAAAGATCAGCCTTACACCCTGCATGTAGAAACCAAGCTGAAGCCTGTTTCTCCTGCCAGAGAATCCCCCTTCACCATTGTGTGGAAACTGGCTTTTGCTTGCTATCTCCAAATAACGATTAAACAAGGTTGACCTTTCAAAATGACAGGCAAAGGCTTAGGTTTTTTTACAAAAAACACTTGATGACAATTTCTTCGTTTAGCAAAAGTATCCAGCTGTTATCCTCTTTTGAACAGTGACAAAAATTAAAGGGGGAAGGAGCAGTTAAACCTAAGCACCACACCCCTGCATATGTTTTAGGCAAACTCTGTTGTCAAAGTGCAAAGATATCTGAAGTATTTCCTTGTCTTTTTCATAGATTTTCATACAAAGGAAAAACCAATCTTTGTAATATTTTTTACTGATCATGTTAATGAACTTTTGTTTATATATAGCAAAACATAATCAACTTTGATGATGCTGTCAGAGTAGTTTTCAGTTTCAATTAATAACTCTTGCAGTTCAGCATTCCAAATTGGTATAGCTCTTGAGAGGCACTGAGTGGGATTTTTTGCTATAGGAACACAGAGTAGAAAAGACAAGGAACTTCTGCCTTTCCTTCAGG